TAGGGAATAAACAAAAGCAAGAATTTCAGTCAATGTCAATTGAGGCAGAATTTACTGATTTGGTAATTCTGATGGGAACAAATTTCTGGAGTACTCTCCATCAAGTTAATTAATTAGTTAAATCATTAACTTGGTCCTACTGAATTAAGAGAGCACTGCACTGGTACTCTAAGACTAGAGTATTGGAGTTTGTTGAAAATGTACTATTCTAGGAGACTTGAAACATTGAAACTGGTGTTTAAAAAGCAACAGTTAGTGTTGAGAACAAAAAGATTCGTGAAACAGTTTATTCTTTAGGCTCAGTAAGAACTTTTGCAAAAGATTTAGAGAAAAATGCTGTAACAGTCAGGGTCTGGTTCCGGGTACACATACTTTCTGACCCACTAGTTGCCCACTCTTCACAATCTGACCAGCCAAGAGGGATGTCCATACTGATTAGGACTCAGTCATGTCTGCCAGACAGACCTCTTATGCATCACACACGGCCTTGGTCATGAGCCATTTTGAGCAGGGGCTACCTGAGGCCCTCAGAGTCTAATGGGCTTCTCTGCAACCTAAGTACACTTTATATTCATCATCTGGATGAAACCATCAACAGTCCCCAAGGATGGCTTTACCATCTCCATGTCCTTGTTATTCATGTTTCTTCTTTGATTAAGTGTCTATTGAAATACACCTCCCATTCGTTTGAGTTTTTTTCTTGTTATTGAGTTTTCAGAGTATTTTTGAAGCCTATTATGAAGGTAAGTGTTTTATCAGTATGTGATTTGAAATATTTTCTCACAGTCTGAGGCATACTCTTTTTATTTCCTTAAGAATGTTTTGTGAGGGGCTGGGGATTTAGTAGCATAAGTACCTGCCTGGTGCACGCTAGTCATGAGTTCAATCCCTGGAACCAAAAAACAAAAAAAGAATATTTCATGAAACCTGTGTGATGGTTCACACTTGAAATTCCAGACACTTAGGAGACCAAAGGGGAGGAGCATGAGTACAAGGGAAATCTGAGCAACAGAGTAAGAACCTATCTCAAAAAATAAAAGAGTATTGGTTCAATGTGGTGGCGCCTATAATCTCAGCACTCGGATGACTGAGGCAGGAGGATCGTCATGAGTTTGAGGCCAGTTTGGTCTACATAATGAACTCAGGCCCAGCTTGAACTATATAGTGAGACCCTGAATAAAAAATAGTATTTTATGAGTAAATCCCTGATCAGATGTAATCTGAGTACCTGAAAGTGTTTAGTGTCACATAAAGTGCCTACGTATTTGCTCCAATAATTGCAAAGCACACTATCAGACTATTTCCTGATGCTGCTCTGCATTTGCTTGTCCATGTGTTTAAACAACATTTTCATGTTTATATATTATTGGTTTGCCACCTCTCACTGCTTAAGAGGTAACCCAGGAAGCTCCACCTCTTAATCCATGCCAGTGGAAGTGCAGCGCCCACTCTGTGACTGTTTTAAAGTCCTTTGGTACAAGATGGCAAGGGAAAGGTGGCTCTGTTGTCATTGCTCTGCCTTCCGTCCCTGCTAGTTTGGTTCACTATGAAGTTCCAGCCACGCTAGGTTACTTGACATTATAAACCTGGACACTTTTGAGAAATACACAGAAATCTACACCCATAAATATTTTATACAGATAGGGATCTTTGCCAAATTTTGGAACAAAGTGGGTTAGAGAGTCTCAGCACACTGGTGCATACAGTTTCAAGTTACATGTGTGGTGCTTTGTTTTGAAATGTCCTATGTTCCATTTCATTACAAATTTTAAGGGAGCACCACAGTTTTGAACTAGTTAGGGGGCTTCTTTTCTCCTCAGAACAAACCAACACCAAAAATATGTTGTCTTAACATTTTCTGTTGCTATAACAAAATACCTGAGATGGAGCTATTTATAAATATTGTAGGTTTATTTTGGCTTATGGATCTGGAGTCTGAGAAGTCACAACTTGTCAGCTTCTGGTGAGGGCCTCACTATGCTGCAACTTTTCCATGCTGGAAAGTAGAAAGGATGAAAGAATATATACATATGAGAAAATGTGAGGCTGGATTTCTATAATAGCTAACCCAATTCCTGCAAGAAAGAAAATTTATTCATAGGGGCTCTGCCCTATACACCTCCTTCCTGGTTCCCCTCTCAAAACTGCTGCATTGGGGAATTAAGGTTACAATACATTAATTTGGAGGCTACCTACTCAAACTCAGCATGCTCTAGATGTTTTATTGTCTTTTGGGTTGTCATCCTCATAACTTCAAGCTCTTACTTTCTCAAAATTCTGCTTAGATATTTTAAAAAATAATATCTTGTGAAATAGTAGTGCCAGCTAAAATAACATTTTTATTTTGCTTTAGACCTGGTACATAATTACCTATTTAGCATATGTAAATATCACCTTAGACTAGTCTCATTTATTCCTCGTAGAATTAATTTTAATTGTTATTTATTCTCTACTCCTGACGGGTATACTTTTTGTATTATGGATGATTCCGATGGGATATGTATTCTCAGTTGTGACATCGCATTTAAAATTCTTTAGAAGCCTCTGTTCTTCTGATCCCTGTTCACAGGCAAATGAGGCCATTCCAAAACCTGGCCAGGTTCTGGTTCAGTTTGGCTGTGTAGCCCACAGAAGTCAGTAGGCAGCCAAGACCCATTGCTGAGACATCTTCAGCATCCTCTAAGCTACTCCAGGTGCTGCCTAGAGTCCAGTGAAGGCAAACCTTTGGGAGATGAGTTCCCAAACTGCAACCCAAAGCACACTTATTTATCGCAAAGTGCTAACACTGCAATTAAACCTGAACACTGAGGTTTACATTAACACTTTTTGTCTAAACAGAAACAAAACAACATGCGTGCCATAGGTTCCCCACCACTGGCTATGTGCATTTCTGTATTTTGTTTTTCACCTCCATGGAGAAGGAGTCCCTGCTGCAGAAAAGTTTCTGGTGGAGCTGAAATGGGGAACTGGAGGAGAACGTGATATAGGAGATAAGGCATGGCAAAGCTGGCTGGGGAAATGAGAGGTACCTGTCAATTATGAGATCCCAAGACAGTGTCAGTAAGTCTCAGGACCCCGACGTGGAACTTCTCGCAAGCTTTAGGAGATGCAGAGGACTTGAAAGAAGACCAGATGCCACAGGGAGCCACTACCCAAACTCCCATGGTAGCTCATGCTGCTTTTCCCAGAGGCAGTATGTACTTTTATTTTGACTTTTACCTTGTTTTCTCTTGTTCTGCTTAAGTTGGCGCTGCAGAGCTGGTTTCTCCTATACCCATTTACTTTTCACTTTTCAAATGTATTTTGGGCATCGTTTTGACTTGTCTTGTCCATTTCTTTGTTCAAGGCAAGAAGGACCTAGAATACTTTTGGTTGGCAAGCCATTTCTGAAGAAGCTCCCCTTATAACAGAAGGAGTACTGATTGTTTCATAGGGCACTAAACTGGTTTGGATTTATGCACAGGCCCACCAGGACGGCATCTCTACTGTATTACTCTGCCTCAAGCAGGAAGGAGGAGATCTGAGTTCACTGTCAGCAAAACAGGACCTGGCAGATATCTTCTCAATTTTGATCCCTTTGAGGGGAATTCAAATTTCTTGACTATCCTTTGACAAAATGCCTAGATCCAAGTAAAGACTTTTATTATTCTGCTATATGTGTTTTTTTTTTCTTAAACTCTCCGCAGCTATACCATTTTGGGGCAGTTATTTAACTTCTTTGAGATCTACCTGTCCTGTATAATAGAACAGGGTAATGATTCCTGCTTAAGGGTGCATGTGAAGAGGATGAAAGCCAACTAGGTGCATAATATTCAGCACAGTGCCTGTTCTATTAGAATCTTGCAGTAAGTGTAGCTATGGGTGACAAGAGCCAAGGGGCCAAAGACAAAAAAACCTAGCCAGCTGGTACATGTTGGCTAGGTATCCAAAGAGCTTTTGGGAAAGCTTGATTTTCCCAGGTTAAGCACTAGGGCATATTGGTCTCCTTTACCCCATCTATATTTCCTTATCTCTCTCTTGCTTCGTGGCTTTTTCTTTGACTTTAAACTGGACTCAACCTGCTGTACTTGTCCTGGATTTGAGCAGTGTGAGGCTTCCAAGATGCAGAGAAGCAGAAAAATCAGATAGAATATCCCCAAAATTCTGTGTGTCCAAGTCCAAGGACTCTAGGCAGCACCTACAGTAGCCTAGAGCATGCTGAAGATGTCTCAGCAATGGGTCTTGGCGGCCCACTGACTTCTGTGGGCTACACAGCCAATTCTGTGTGTGCCAGGAGCAGACTTGGTTTTTAAGAAAACTGGGGATAAAAAAGCCAGATTGCCAGGGCATAAAGAAGGTTGTTCTCCTACAGATACACTCATCTTCTCTGTGAAACTCACATATCTTGGCTAAGCAATGAAAAGCAAAATAAAACCACTTAAGTGTTAGAGAAAAACCTGGGACTTCTTACCCTTAGACTTGGAGTCAAAGGTATATTTTTAAATCCCCTGAAAAGAGGGCATTCCTCCAATAACAGAAGAAGGGCTCAGAGTGAATGCAAGAGCTGACTTGCTTCTTTGACTACCAAGAGAGCCAACCAAATTCTATCTTAATTACAAAGTAGGAGTAGTGGGGACCCCAAATTCTATTTCCTGTCACACCTGTTTGCCCCTTTCCTTCCAATACCATAACAGTCCATGTCACTCTGATTTTCCCAGAAGATAAAGTTCCCTTGCTGTTTCTTACCTGGTATAATATATGAAGCTTTCTTAGATTTAAAAATTCCTCTGAGGCAGAGGCCAGAAACTCTCCAACTTTGCAGGCATGTTTATAAACAACATTTACTAGCTGCTCAGCGGTTGTTAACATCAGTGACTACATAAATCTAATTGAATGTGAGACTTCCATTTTGACCTTGTATCATAAATAATTTATTTTCCAAGGTAATAAAATGTAAATAAAGAATACAAATAACTTAACTCATAAATTAATAAATTATTTCCAACTCTTCTATTGTCCTTTCAAATGCAGTGCATTTGTTGCCAGTCACTGAATGAAAATTCCTGAAGGCATTGTCCTGTCCCAGGGACACAGGCTGGCAGATCTTCAGTCTTGAAAGTAATCTGTAAGACTGTTAATGATGGGAAACTTACTGATGAGTTCTGCTTGGACTACTGTCCAGGCACAAATGCTGTTCTCCCTGGCAGTGAGGTACCTGCTGATCCTCCAGTAATAGCTCTTTAGGCGCAGAGTGGTCATGTTTGTGTCCTCTGGTCTTTCCTGCAGGATTGTTGACTTCAGACGATCCATCTGCTGATGGAGTTTATCAAGGAGGTCATCCACAATGGTCTTATTCCACACAGTAGTAGCGAATTCTTTTCTGATAATAACAAAGATGTTCTGAAGCATCTCCTGGATGACAAGAGCAGCCATCTCTTTCTGGAATGGACGTGGTTGCTTGATCTCCTCTGGAAACTTGAAATCCATCCTGTCCTGCTGGCAATGTTCAGGCTTTCCTTTCACCTGCCTCAGAAGCTTCAGACAGGCCGAATTGCTGCTGCGTTGTTGTTGCTGGAGTTGAAGCAAGTCATAGCTTAAGGAAAGAGATGTGGTGAAGGACAGCAGGAGAGCGATTTGGAGGATATACCTGCTGGCCATGATGAGAACCGGAACGGTGTTGTCTGTTACCTGCACGGTGGAGCAAAGTCTCCAAAAGTCTGCAGTGTGAGTGTCCTTCCTCCATGGGTGCAGTCTATTTATATGGGATGGTCTCTCTGTTTCACAGGAATTTCCCACTTTCAGTTCTCCCTTTCAGTTTTCCTATGTCACTTTAAGTACATTTAACGTTTTAATATCTAATGTTTTTAAAACTCCTATTTTATAAAGTATATGTGAGGAAAAAAGTATACAAACAGTGAAAATTTCTACTGTTTTGTGAAGCTTCAGAAATTACAAAATCAAAAAGAAGAGAAAAGGACCTGGAAGAAAGCAAAGGACTTGAGAACCAAAGAGCTCTCAAATAGCCAAGAGATATTAATTGAAAAGCCAATCACAGTATAGAAGATGGCCCTGGGTAGTATTTTGCCCATTGCAATAGTAGATTATTTATGAAGTTCTTTGTAAATCTGGAGAATCCTTGGACTGCTGTAGGGTGTAAGAAATTTTGAAACCAACCAGCCATGGCTTTCTCTGGAGATAGGTTTACTACAATGAGAAGAAACTGTTGCAGATGGAATCAAATTTGAGCAAAACAAAAATAAAGGGATAAGGAAAAGGACGGATTACTCTAGGCCAATGATGGCAACCTTAGAGACCAGGTGCTCAAACTGCAACCCCAAACCCATTTGTGTATATCAGAGTGCCGACACTGCAATTAAACCTGAATGCTCAGCTTCTGGGAGATCCTGGAGAAACCTGTCTCGTGTGCCAGCATGAGGGCTCTGTGTGCCTGCTGTGGCACCTGTACCATAGGTTCACTACTGCTGCTTTAGGGGCCAATTCAGAAAACAAGTGGTAAATTTTTAAACATTTCACAAAAGTAACAGAAGAGGGAGCTCTTAGAAAAACCACCTTGACCACTTAATATTCTATAGAAATGATAACAGAAAACTGAGAAATAGACTGTAATACGTATTTATTATTGGGAAAGAAGAAAAGTAGAATTATTTATCTACAAATAATGAAAATGTCACAAGAATACACGCATTGGCCACAACTGCAACATACTGTCACCAAAGGAGTTTTAAAATATTAAGAAATAATACAAAACAATACAAATCGAAGTAGAAAACATCAGAAATGGAGTAATATATGTAGGAAAGAATCAGAAATAAAATAAAAACCTAAATTTTTGTAAAGTAGTTACAATCACAAGGAATGGGAATTTTGGGGGGGATATCTGGCATTGGAAAAAAGCTTAAACTTGGGAAAACCTTAACTAGAATCCAACAGTACATAAAAATTCTTATGTAGTGACTAAGAAGATATTGCCAAGATATTCAGTCTTGTAACATTATACAGGGAAGATTACAAGGTCAAATGATCAAATCTTATTTTAAAAATTTCAGAATATTAAAGATAATACTGGAGAAAAGCTGATCTTTTTTTGTCAAGATCTAAACCCAGAAAGTAAATAAAAAATACTGATAAAGTATGACTATGTACAAGTTATAAATTTCAGTATGACAAAAAAATTTAAAAAGCTATGAAAACATGAAAGGAAGCACAACATCCAAACCATATTATAGTTGCCGTGAAAGGGACAAATTTTCTTTCTCCCAAATTTCTCTAAAAACTAATAATCACCCCAAACAAAAGTTTATAAATGCTCAGAATCCAGGAATAGAAATCAAAATTTCCTATCTTGATCATGGTCAATCAAGACAGGAAAATTTGCTCCATGTTAAAGATATACAAATATAAATCAAATTGGTAATGGTGTAATCATTTTTAAGTAATCAGATTTTCAAGCTTGGGAAATAGGTATTGTAATACACTTCACAAAAGTATGAATTTATTCAAAACCACTGGAGAACTGGCTCTGAGCAATGTAAATAGGGCTAGCTGGTGTGCTTATGTGTAACCTTTGAAGCTAGGTGACAGTCACTTTTCCCTGCCCTGTGACTCCCAAAACATGGTTGAACTGCTTGGAATGAAGAGCCATAGCTCCAGGGCTATCAGTGGAGTTGGAGCCTCAATGTAAGAGGCTATGACTTCCCAGGGCAGAAAAGTTTTTCACCAGAGCACCAACCTCCAAAACATTAAGTGCTACCAATTGTGTTATGCAGATTGGTCTTTTCACATATCCTCTGCATGTTGTGGAAGTGTTTTCAGGCCTCCCTGCTGGCTCGGTTCACAGTACTCATGTATTTCCTATGTATTTCTCAGTCACTCATCCTCAAGCGACTCCCTTCTTGATGAAGTCCAGTAAATTAATCCCAATCTACCACTTCCAGTACAACCCATGTGGAAGTGTAGATTGGGATTAACTCATTGGGATTTCAATAACTTTTCCATGGAATTACAAATATAAACTTCCTGGACCTCAATGAGGATAGGAAAGGACTCTCACTATATAGAGATAAGTAAGTTATAAAAGTAATAGCAGAAATAATGAAATAGAGACCACAAAAAAAGAAAGATCAGTTGAACTAGGAGGTTTTGTTTCAAAAATGTAATCAAGATGGACAATCCTTTGATGAGAGTGAAAAAAAAAAAAAAGAAAAGGGAGAAGTCTCAAATAAAACCATTATAAGAGATGAAACATTAAAACTCAGGCCATAGACATGCTCCAAGCTACAACCCCAGCCTTTTTGTATTTTGAGACAGGGTCTTGCTACAGTACTATATTGCTTGACTTCACTCAAAATTAGCACCCTCCTGCCTTAGACTCCTGAATGCTAGGATTAAACTTAGATTCCTGAATTCTAGAATAAAAATATGCACTACTGCTTGCTGCTGTCATTTTCTTTTGGTTCCCTATTAGGTTTTCCATTTCCTTGGTTACATTGCCCACCAGTTCTTGGAGACTGTCTATTTCATCCATTAAAGCAATTAGCATGTTAAGCACTGTTCTTTAAAATTCACTTTTGGTAATTGAAACATCACTAGTAAGTCTTTTTCATCACTACCATGATGCTTTCTTTGTTTCTTCAAATTGTTTTGTTTTGTCTTTTAGTGTGTCTTTACATGTTATTGCTAAATTAGACTTTAAAAAATTGGTTGGGAGTGGACTTAGGTAGAAGTGTTCCATGATTTGGTCCCAGTAATGAGTTTATGCCACTGCACTGTGACATTTCCAGGTGTTTCTCAGAATACCTCCTTCAGTTGGTGTTCACTCCAGGCAGTTGGTCTCTTGTAAATACCAGCAGGCCAGGCTCTGGGTAATTACTTCTGTCTGAGGGCAGATCTTGTTAGAAAGAATGGGGCACTACAAAATGGCCTCCTGGTCACCTCACAGGTAGAAGCACTAGGAGACTTTTCTCTGTCTGATATTTACTGTGAAAACCAAATAAAACTCAAAAGTATAGGAATCTGCTTAGGACTGGGTCATGTTAAGTTTTAAATTCTTAGCTCTAAGCCTTCAGCTATTTTCAATTACTGTTCACATTTTCCTACCTTGGTTCCTGAATGCAAGGCCCTGCTTTCAAAAAGCTGTGACTTCTGGTTCTCACCAGTCTGTCTTTTCACTCTTGGCAGCAGATTGCCTTAGGTCTTCACTTCTATGGGTCAAAAGGAAGCTTGTGATTTCCTCCTTGGTTCATAGTTTTCTAGTTAAGACGCAGTAGCTGTTTCCAAGCTCCTTACAACAGAACTGGCTTTAATTAAAGTTTAATTTAATTAAGATGAAGAGAAACAAGTGAAATGATGCGTTTTTCTTCTTAAATTGAGTTCTTTTTTTCACACTGAACATCAAGGAGGATTAAGGAACTTCTCTCACCTGCTAGTATTTTTGAGCAAAAAAGGGACATTTCAGCTAGGGATGGTTGGGAAGCATCTGTAGGTACTCAGACTGTGTAGGACAGACCAGAAGGCAAGGGCAAGTCTGTTCCTCCACCTGCGGAATGAATATGTATTATTTATTAACTTACTAATGAAAATATATTGAGCACTTCAAAAGAAAAATCATTTTTATTTATTGAATATTCAATAATGTATATTAAGCCTAAAGATCAATGATGAATCTTGTCATTTTATTGGGTTATTCTAAAAAATGTCTCCCAAAAATGTTTTACTGTTGGCTTCATTATAAATCCTGTGCTTTCTTTCTGAGTTTTAGTGCAAGGGTATTTCATCCCAGTATATTTTATACTTTGATGTTATTGTAATTATGAACAAAATTATTTTTTCATTGTGTTTTTAATTTTGAATGGAAATAACTTCATTTCATGTGTACTTTAAATCAGATTTTAATGTTTAAATTCTAATATGGCAACTATCAATACATAGATACATAGGACCACAATCACTTTGGGGTCTCCATAATTTAAAGACATTTCTATTGGTTATGAAATCAAAGTACTTGACAATTGCTGGTGTTAATATTTGTAAATAGAACATATTTTGACTTTACATTGGAGATGAGTATTATGAGCTTATAACATTACTGTTTTTCTTTTCTTGTCCTATGTAACTAACAGAAAAACAAATGTATTTTTCTGGCCAGAGAAAACTCACTGTGGGGTAGCTGCTGGTTACAGTTGGAGTCAATCCATCAAAAAGGAAAAAAAGATAGGGATGGGAGAGGTTGCAATGTAAAGAGGACACAGAAAAGTACAGAAAGCTTGGTTGAAAACAATACCTTTCTACTCTCCACACTAATAAAATAAGTGGCAATCTCATCAAAATTCTTAATCATACTGGAAAAATTTTTCTCAGCTAAGGACAGTTTTTGTGAAACTTGGGAACCACAAGCAAAAACTTACATTTGGGTAGAGGGAAGAGCCTGTCTTTCTATTTCCACCTGCTAACTCGCTTACCCTTACTTAGTGCCAGGCTGCTCCTGCAAAGACTATGGTTTCTCCTTAACCACAGAAATGAGCAGATGTTCAAGGAGAGAATCTACCATCAACTGTGAAGAGACAGAGCATGCAGCCAAAACCTATGTGCTGCTGGTTTCAAAGCCTGTCCTCAGCCCTTGCCCACATCCCAGTTGTCTTGACTCAGACGTACAGTTGGAATGGCTCAGTCACTGTCTAGCACGGATCCTTGCTTCCAAGATAATGCAAATTAAA